GATGCCCCCGTTATTGCTTAAAAGACTGCTTGAAAAGGAAGATCTTTGCCTGATGCAGGAAAGACAGAAGAGAGGGGGCCAACCTGGCTTCTTCTAATGTTTTTGAACTGTTTTTGCAATACTGGGTTATAAATGAATTTATCAATGCAAGAGTTAATATTAGCCCACAACTGTAAACAAGAGTAAAAAATGCTGCTCAGTGACCAGGTGCCTACAATAATTCTGGCACTTTCTCAAGTGTTAAAAACAGGGGTCAGGGTCTGTCTGAAGGTCTTATAGCATACGACTAGCAACTTACCTCAGAATTCTGTAACGATTCTTTCACTCTGGGAGACTGCAAGAGAAAAACAGATGGCTCTCATTATTAGTCTGCAGCATCAGGGGAGAACCGGCAGATCCTGATGGACTGTCTCCTCAACATCTATTCTTCCTTTTCAAATCCTCTCTTTCCCCCAGCCCCCAAAACAGAACCCTGAGACACCATCTCTCCCCCACTCCCATAACACAAAGTTCCAGTGGGACGGTACCCTACTATGTTTATCTCGGTGGATTTTCGGATAAGGCAGGTGTATGGGAGGGAGCATCCCACATAAATCGCCTCTACCATGCCCGTTTCATAAAAAGGATCTGTGAAAAGTTAAAACACCTTTAGAACAGGTGTGAGGAACTGGTGGCCCTCAAGATGTCTTTCACTACTCCACTCACATTCCTTCAATGCTGGCCAACAGCTGATGTGGGGGGGTGTAAATACACACACACACACACCCATTTTAGAACAATTGTCCCACTGATGTCAATGGTTCAACTCTAGACAGAACCAAGGTCGCACTGAATCCCTTCTTTCAGAGGTTTAAAACAATGCATAGGCATAAGCTCATTACAACCCTAACAATGACCCCTAATTACAACCACCATCACCATATGGTGTCAAATCAGCTCTGATTGACTGCAACCCTTTCCAGGGTTTGCCAGGGAGAGAATACTCAGAACCGGCTTCCCATTCCCTTTTTTGGAGAGCATCCTAGGACGAGGCAGCTTGCCCAAGGCCACACAGGCCGGTTCTACTCTCAGAGAAATAGTGGAGAATTGAACTCCCAACCTCTGGCTCCACAGCCAGAGATATAACTCACTGAGCAATCCAGCCAGCTAATAATATTTCCGTGCTGTCAATTCTGATTTACAGCCATTCCAATTCTGACTTTTCAGGGTTTCCTAGGTAGAGAAAGCTCAAAGGAGTCTCCTATTCCCTTTTTCCAGGGGAACCCTGGGACTGTTGTGCAGCTTCCCCAAGGTCACACAGGCTGGCTCTACTCACAGGAGGCACAGCAGGGAATCAAATTCCCAATTAGCTCCAAAGCCGGATACCTAAACCACTGAGCTACCCAACCCTTCAAGCTCATTTACCCCCATGTTCGAGAAAAAGAGAGAGACTGAGATGGAGAGAAAGAAGTAAGTTCACAAGGGAGGCAAAGTGATTCAAATTGGGGCTTCTTCCCTCTGTTGCTCCGCCATGATTAGGTTACACCAGCTCAGAACCAAACCCTGGGGCTAGGCTGTAAGAAATCACTGAGGATGTTCCAAAATGAACAAAAACTGCTTGAGACCCATGTATGTCAATCTAATGGGCAACCAGTGATTTTTCTGACAACAGCTGTTCTCTAAATTGCAGAGGTCGGAAGACTATGAAGCAGATAAATATTGAAGGGTGAAGGGTGTGTGCATTCATGTGCAGAGAAAGTAGTGTGCAATTTGTGTTTAATAATTAAGAACACCTTTTCCTGGCTTGTTTGGGATTCTGCTCAGTAAGCAAAAACAGCCAGCATCGTCTGTGGACGTGAAAACCAGTATTCTCCTTCAGGAGAGATATTCAGCTGCCTTTCACATAGAGCGTATCTCTAGTGATCTGTGCTTAATTTTCAGATGTATCTTCTGGCCACAGACATCCCCCTCCAAGACCAAAATAACCCGTCAACACAAAGTTTGGGGGAAGCAACTGAAGGTATTGTTCAAAATCCAGCTAATAAGCTTGATCAACAAGACAGAGAACTGATGTGCACAACAATCACCAAGCACGCTGGGAAGAAAGTCTGATCAGATGTAGTTGTGATCTGAACCATCTTCTCATGGAGCGTTCTTGGAAACTAAATCATGGAGGATACTGGGCGGGTAAAGAAGGTGTGTCCTTTTTTTAAATCCACCAATCTTTAGAAAAGCTAGTACAGTAGGAATCACATATCTGAGGGAGCAGCATCCACAATTTCACTTATCCACAGTCTAAAAATAGTAAAAATATTCAAAGAAAAAAAAATCTAGAAATACACATTTTCATGATACACTTACCAGACCTGGCCACTAGAAGGAGTCAGAGACCACTCTCGTTGTTGGAATACATTGCATGGTCTCTGGCTCTCTCTAGTGACCAGTTCTGGTAATACATGATATTTGTGCTTGACATGTTTATTGCCACAAATCGGAGCACGAACAAATACAACAAATAGAGAACATATGAGGAAGTGCTACTTCGGGGAGCACACCCTGAACTAGCCTCTGTTTTATTATTCATTTATTTTCTTTTTATAGAAAGAGTTCACAATTGCCGGGGGGGGGCTGAAAGTAATTGAACTAAGGCCCACCCTGAGCTGTGAAATGGCTGCTTTGCCTTCCTCACTCTCTTCGTCGAGTTCATCGTCGCTCCACTCCCAGCCACCGTCTTCTGTCTTATGGAGACGCCCACTGGAGCCGGGAACTCTCCGGACCTGCATTGCAATAAGAAGCCAAAATCAAGCTGCTAGGAGTGCAATCTTGTTAGAAAATCTCAGGAAAAAGGTAATTGTGTTTAAAAATTAAACAGAGAAACCACAAACCTCAAATGTGTATCAAATAAGGCATGCCAAGCAAGTATACTTGGAATACGCTACTTACACGGATCTATTTCATACAAAGACCTCCTTCTACTCAGATCCTCCCTCATCCCCTCTCTTCCTTCAAAACATGTGATCGCTTTTTAAAACTGTATTGCATATTTTCTGTTCCAGCAATCTCCCAAGTCTTCAAGAGTGCTACGCTTTTTGTGACTTTTAAGATGTAGTAGATTAAATTAAAGGCCAATCAACAACTTTGGTATTAGGGTTGTAGGTCAGTATGCCACTAGAGCAGTTGATGAAGCACCCAGGTTTGTTAGGGTGGGAGGGTACAAACCAGGATCACAGGGCAACTCCAGACCTCTGGCAGAGATGGATCTGCAGGAATAGTGAGCACCAGGACAGGAATCTGTCTAATTAGGTCCTAGAGCTTTCTGGGTTCAACTCATGAAGTCAGAGAATTCATATAACTCCTAAGCAGCCTTGGCCCAATGCATGTCTAACCACAGGCCTGGCTTCCCCTCTTGTCTTGCACCCTTTTATGTTTATATTCTGTTGTAAACCATCCAGAATAGTGGCTCACCGTTAGATGGGTGATACAGAAAATTAACAAATACATACCGTATTTTTTTCGTGTATAAGACGACCCCCATGTATAAGACATCCCCCACTTTTCTAACCCAAAATTAAGAAATCTAAGTGGGGCTTAGCAAGTGGAGGGGAAAGTAGTGATCAAAACCCTGCAGGATCACTTTGATTCCTGCTTTCCCCTCCACTTTTGTTCTCTCCTCAGCTTACTTCCGTGTATAAGACGACCCTCAATTTTTAATTTAAAGATTTTAGACAAAAGTCTAGTCTTATGCACGGAAAAATACGGTAAACTCTCATGCACCAGGATTTTTTAAAAAACCACTGAGTGAGTTGTAGGGTATTTCCCCCCTTTATGAGAATGCTAAGGTATTGAGGGTTGGCAATATGGATATATCAAGGAATGGAGCTAAATGTGTACTTCTTTTCTCCCCCCCCTTTCCCCCCCGGTCTGGCTCAAATTAGAATCCCAATGTTCATGCTGAATGGGGGCCATAATGACAACCAAACTATACCACTTCAGCTCCTCAGGGCCTGGTGGGAAAGGACACGGGAGGTTTTGTCTGAATAAGTTGCAAAGCAGAACTCCAGTGGCAAAAAATGAATTGATTTAGCGGTCGGGGCACATTTTGTCCTAGACACTTAAAGGAAGAGGACAAAGAGGAAGCAACTGCACATGGAACTTGCAGGTTCTGTTAACTCTTCAGTGACAATGCTACAGAATGCCTGCACTGTTTTCCATGTAGATTCTGCCCCAACACATGACTTCAGGGAACATACCGTAACTTCTGAAACTGAAATACTCTTATTTATTTATTTATTTATTTGATTGTTTGTTTGTTTGTTTGTTTGTTCCCCCCCCCAATCTAGACCGACAGCTTCTCTGGGCATCCTTGAGATTTTGAAGACTTGGTCGTTCTTAACCCTTATGCAGCACAAGATAACGATCAAGTCCTCAAAATCTCAAGGACGCCCAGAGAAGCCCTCGGTCTAGATGGGGGAGTGGGTTATAAATCGAATAAATAAATAAGAAGTGGTCCCATTTGTCACCTCTTGAATCTTTCATTTCCTTTGAGCCTCGTGGCGCAGTGGTTTAAACGCTGTACTGCAGCTAAAACTGTGCTCATGACCTGGGGTTCAAATCCCAGGTAGCCGGCTCAAGGTTGACTCAGCCTTCCATCCTTCCGAGGTTGGTAAAATGAGTACCCAGCTTGCTGGGGGGGCAATGTGTAGCCTGTATAATTAAATTGTAAACTGCCCGGAGAGTGCTTGTAGCGCTATGGGGCGGTATATAAGTCCAATAAATAAATAAATAAATAAATACTAAATCTGGATGTTGCTTTGAGGGAATGCTTTTTATTCATGTTGGCTTCTTGGGTGAATCCCGCAGACCGAATTCCAATTCTTTACTGAACTGCTGTGTACTCAGAGCACAAGAAGGCTATCAGTCAAATGCAGGAAAGAAAACTGAAAGCTGCCCTATAAGAGCTGAAACAGAGTGTGGGATTTTACCTTTTTGGCTCTTTCGGTGATGGTTGGAGCTCTCTGTAGTATTTTCTCTTGTAAAAATTCTTTATTCTAGGAGGGGGAAATCAAATAATCATTTTCTCTTCCTGCTCTTCAAAAAGAGATCGTTCGGCTCAAGTCGTATTCCCTAGCAACTGCACAGAGGGTGGGATCAATACAGCTGTCTCTAGTTACTAGAAATAAACTCAGAAAAGTCTTTCATACAAGCGTTAGGAAGACAACATATATGAGCAGCTCTCCAAAAATAGCATCCTTCTGCTGCTGTTCCACCTCTTGGGAATTAGCCAGAAGCTTCTATTTCTTCTTAATACTCTTCAATCTCTGTATGTGTCTCTTCGGGGAGAGAGAGCACACATCAGCTTAGATTATGGTACCATCAGCAGGCTGGTGATGCCCAGCTGTATTTCTCTATTCTATCAAATCTAGAAGCAACAGATACCCTGGAAAAAAACAAAGCCGAATCACAACAACAAACACATTCAAACAGAGCCAAATCCTGATTTTGTTGGACTTCCAACTCTCAACTGGCTTATCCAGCACAGACAATAATCAGGGATGAAGTGAGTTGGAGTCTAGCAACAACTGGGAGTCTAGCAACATCTGCAGGGGTATTGTTTCCCCTGGTCTAATGGATCCTGTGGCAGACAGAATTACACTGACAAAATCTGGAGGAATCACCCCTGGATAGCTTATTCACTGCTAGTAACTAGCTTCTGTCCTTATTGCTGGGCGCAAGCATTAATCTATAGCCTTACCTTTGCTTTCTGGAAAAATTTGTGTCTTAGAAGTTCAGCTGCTGTTGGTCTATCAAGAAAGAAAGAAAAATGAATAAGCCTTGAAAAATGGCTTTAAGGAACCATGAAAGTTGTTTTCTTCTAGCCCATTTTCTTTTTCTTCCTATACCAAAGGCAAAATTGTTGCAGGGATCTTTAAATAGTTCAGACCATCTCTGAGAAAAGGAACTTAAGAACTCAGAATCAGGGTAGAGATGGCTGTTTACTAGGTCAGCCACATGACAGAGGCTCCCAAAAAGTGGATTTGATTTAAATCACAATTTAAATTTTAAAAATCAGATTTTTTTTGAATGATTCAAATTTAAAAATTAGTTGTTTTTATTCACATCGTGATTTAAATCCTTTTGATTTTTTTGAAAATAAAAATAATTTATTTTTATTCACCCTACTTCCCAGGTGAGCAGCTTGTGCAAAAAGCAGAGATATGTTAAAAGCAGAACCCACTGATCACAAAGAAGAATGTGGTCATCACAGACAGTGGGAAAGTCTCCTAGCAGGCTTAAGAAGAAGTGTGTTGTTATTGTAATCTTTGCATTTACATTTTACATATCTGCAATGACATCAAATCCATTCAATAATCTTTGCATTTACATTTTACATATCTGTAATGACAAAAAAAAATCCATTCAGGAGAACCAAGCTGAATATTCAAGAACACGACAATCACAAGAATGGCATTGTTGGGTCGGACCCATGATCTCGCCGGTTCTGCATCTTATCAGACTCAGCAACCATGGGAGTGATAAAGCTGTCCTGCACCCTACCTTGATGGGTGGGTGGGGGACTAAACATTTAAATTGTGAAGATGGTTTGAAAACTGAGCCTGAACTTAGGGTTGTGGTGATCACATCTTTTTGCCCTAATGGGCCATATTTGAACCTTCTGTGGCTAGAAGTTCCCCAGGCAGATCATGCCTTACTTCTGGAATTAACTTCTCTGCCTCTCGGTTTCCATGAAGGACCTCGCCATTTTTGTACTTCCGGAAGAGTTAATCTCCCTGTTGCCTCTCGGTTCCTTTGTCCTTGGCTTCATCCTCTTACTGTGTAACGATATGAAGCACACCATGCCGTAGGTGTCTGGACACGGCCTTTGCCTGACCCTGTGGATTTCTACTCCTACAGTCTGAGAGATCACTGAATCTGGCTGCTCTAGAGATGTACAGATTTAGACTCCATCGGCAGACACAGGAGTGTTGGCTGGAATTCACTGGGACAACTCAGGCTTTGCCCACGCAAGAGTCCGACTCTAGTTCATGGCTTCCAGAAAGTAGGGCTCAAAGAGGCTTGTGTGCACGCACACGCACACACACACAAACACAGACCCACGGTTTTAGCGTCCAATCTACTCTGCAAAGCAGGCTAGGCAGAAAGGGAAGGACAAGCAAAAAGTGAGCATTAACGACATTTGTAGCTGAGCAGGGATTTGAACCCAGGCTTCGATGGTCCTAGTCCAAAATTCTAACCATGACACCTGTTCATGTTATGATTTATTCTGCACCAGAGGGAAATAAATATGTTACCAGCATCAACAGCAGGCAGGCACCCATTTATGAAACACCAGCTAATCCCCAAATATTTTGCATTCTGTTTTGTGCACACAAAACATCAAAAGCAGAACACAAAGAGGGCTGATACTGCTGGTGCAACCTTGCAAGCGTGTGGTTGCTCTCATGGCTAAACAAGCATTTGCGCCTTCTGACTCTTTCCACGCACCACTATTCCCCACGCTATTCTGTCATTTTATTCTGTGTGCATCTCGTCAGCCGGTAGGTGGCCACCTCCTCTCTCCGTCACAACGTTCTGACATCAAGCACTG